ACTCGGTCCCCGAATCCTCCTACTGCCCACTTGAACTCGAAAAGCTTCTGACCCGCCTGACCTGCCTAGAACCCAATAAAACCAATCTGCTTCTCCCGTATACCATCTTCGGCCCAAACAAAAGGACGCTCTTCCGCGATGTCAGGAACTGCCAGAAAACAGACAATTGCATTTCAAGTAAATTTTGACAAGGTCACAACACCCCGGAAGCCAAATCCTACTCATCTTAGCCTGTCTTGAAGCGTTGGCTCTGCGCTTGAACATTTACTTTGCAAACTACCGGACAAAATCTCAACAACCAAACATCACACGAAGACCTAACTACTTTCCATTTCTGAAGTCGGGGACCCTACAATGATTACTTGTAACGACCAACGAAAACAAAGAAAAAAAACAAAAAAAAGAAAGAGCAAAAGAAAACAAAGACCACATCAATTACTGGGCAGTTTAATCGCTGAACAGAAAAAAAACTAATTGTTTTCGCGTATTTCTCACACTGCTTATAGCAGTATCAAGGCCTGATTTCCCCAGTCCTTTTGAAACGTTTAACCTGCAAAATAACAACTGCAGCAACACCATCCGCAATGTCTTCCACGAGCAAATGCTCATCATCCCTTCCCCTTTCACCAATTCCGTTCGGAAAACCCTGGCAGCAAACCAACGAAACAGCAGTAACCGTACCAAAACCACCAGCTGCTACAATTCCATCACAAAAAACCTCAGCGCCAAATTCAAACAATAGCCACAACCAACGCCAGCGGTCTACTCTATCAAACTGAAACACCGCCCCGGCGTCCACAAAACGTCGAACAAAAGAAACAATGTAAACATCCACTGCCTATCTAAAACTCCTCGTTCCGGAGTACAAACAACATTCAATCACAACTGCATCAAAATCAAAAACCACATGCACCAGCGACCCCTGCAGTTCACCGTTTGTGCTCACCACCAAAACAGCTTATAAAAATGTAGACGACATTAAACAACGCCAAAAATTTCAACTCTACCTATACGCTAACAGCAATAACATCAAAGTTACAATACTCCAACTTGTGATCATACAATGTCTTTCCTTTAAATTTAGGCTCACAGATGTCGAAATACCATTTAAAACGGAACAGCAATAACGCTCTGAAGTAGAAGTATTACTGCACAGGTGAAAATCGTCATCGAACATGACCACTTGTTTTTTTCCTCTTCTTTTTTTTCTTTTTTTTTTTTTTTTTTT